ACTTTTAAAATACTGCGTGATAAAAACAGAAGCTGTACTTCATATTAGTGACAAACTTTGGCCTTTTTGATGAGTTAACTTAATTTTTGCTTCTATTTTTAATTTAAATAAGTTTACATTCTCAGCAGTTTCTAAGTTTCTTCTTCTACGTATTAAAAAGGTTGTTAAACAATTGAGTGGTGCTCTACTGCTACTAGTGGTGAGAAAGTGTATTGCACCTTATTCAAAATCAATCTGGTCCCACGGCCCTCTGCGGCCCAAAATTAAAAACTATTCTTTTGAGGCCCTCAAGGTGGCGCTCACGGCCCAATTTTAGATGTTCCAACAGGTTAATATTCTTCTGTTGATGTGATCTGAAATTTGATTTCTGCACAGTAAGTCCATTGATTTTAGTTTCATTTGTGAGTTTAAGGGGTTTAGATTTAAACTCCTTTATAGTCTGTTATAGATGCTTTTACTAAAGTTATCCCTGACTTTAAGACTTTTGCCTCGCTGTTTCCTTTCTTCCAAGCCTAATCTGGTTAAAGCCAACAACCAAAGCCTTCATCTGCTCTGTGAGCCACTTAAATTAAACCAAACATGGAAACAAGCAGGATGGATGTCTGAAACAAAGATGGTCAAACAGGTAACAAGATGTGATGGTGTGCATCAGTAAAAACCAACATTAAAAAGTGTTCTTGCTTCTGACATGAAGCATGCAGCGCTACGTGACTGTGCACAAACTGAACCTGTGTTCTTCAGATAATAACACAGATGCAGATACCYTGTGATGCTATCTGCATCTGCTCTGCAGCAACATGTAACTTCAAGCTGTAGGAATGTATCTGAAAAACARGCTCCTCTTGGTTTTCTTGCATGTCAGGAAAACATTACTCAATGTCTGTAAGTGGAAATGACTTTTAATGGTCAGTTTWTATCAGTATTTCACTGTAAGTTTACAGTAAAATGAAAACCTTTGTAAAGAACAAACATATCTGTAGAACAAATGATACTGTGTCTCCAAACAGTGCAGGTGTTCTAATTTGAAAGCAGTCTAAGTAAAGAAGATCCTGCAGAAATAATCTGAACAGTCCAGTTTTATTATTATTCTCTGTCGATGATGAGCAGGTTTATGTGTATGTGTGTGTAGTTGTGCGTGTAGGTTTATGTGTGTGTTGTTGGTATTTTGTATCTGAATCTGACTCGTACCTTCTGTAAAGCTTGTTGCAGAAGCTGATCTGCTGACTTGTTCTTCTCGCTCGGCCTCACGTTGTACTTCAGGATGTTGGGGTTTGATTTCACAGCATAGGTTCTTTTCCTCACCCCATTGACCCGATAAAAAGTGTTGTTGTCATCCATGATGAACTGGTTCAYCTTCACGCCCAGCTGTTCAGCAAACCAGAGGACAATCCTGTTGATAAAATAATAGCTCATTAATAAAATCAGGCCTTGTTCTCTGATTAATATGCAGCTTTTGTGKTGCCAGRCTYTACGCTGCATTTATTCATTTTAACTGTTTATATGCTAACTTGGTTTCAATTTGTAGTTATTTAGAATGACTGAATATTGTCTCCTGCAGTTTGTAGATCTGGGATTTAGTGATACTTCTGTGGAAAGAGCAGGAGAGGGATGAGAAGGACCAAGAGATCAGAGCTTTGTCTGCAGTTCTGAGAACTTTGCTCCTTCATGTTGTGGTGAAGAAGAAGCTGAGTTAATATGCAAAGCTCTTAAATTACTGGTCCATCTTTAACTCTGACCTTTGGTCAGGAGATCTGGATCATGACCAAAACAACAAGATTCTGATTTTAAGCATCTAAAAAGAGCACCCTCTGTAGGTTGTACCCCCCAACCTTCTAACCTTCTAACCTTCTAACCTTCTAACCTTCTAACCTTCTAACCTTGCATCTTTTTATTTTAGGTAATAAAACTCTGCTACCATAAGTCATTAAATAAGTCATTATTATTTTATAGCTGTGACATGAATATTTTAGATAGCTCTAGTCCTAATACGCATATCAAGAGAAGGGTGTGTTTGTGTTTTTGTGCAGGTGCAGATGTAACCAGAGTCTGAATCAAACTCCTTCTGGAGGTTCTCTAGGCACACCGAGGTGGGAGGAGACCCCAGGAKAAACCCAGGTCTCTGGTCTGGGAAAACCTTCCCCAGGAGGAGCTAAAGAGTCACTTACGAGGAGAATGTCTGGGTGTTTTCACTGGACCTGTTGTCTCAATAACGTGACCTCGGGTGGATGGATGGATGGATGGATGATTGATGGATGGATGATTGATTGATGGATTGATTGATTGATGGATTGATGGATGGATGGATGATTGATTGATTGATGGATTGCTTGATGGAAGGATGATTGATTGATTGATTGATTGATTGATTGATTGATGGATGGAAACTTACTGGTGAAAACCAGGGATCCTCATGGCTCCCAGCTCAGCGTACCAGCCCTCCTCTTTATTCCTGTAGGTCTCCACTCGTCCACCGACTCGACTGCTGGCCTCAATGATGGAGACCTTATAGAAATCAAAGCCAAAAGACGACAATTCATTTACAACTGAAAAGCAGTAATACCTTCATTAGTAGCAGTAGTTTGACTGTATTTGCTCCTTTTGTTTAGCTGCAGCTCTTTTAATATATCTCTATATGTGAGCGCTGTGGTGCTGGTTGGACATATGGTCTCTGTCAGGATTAGGAGCTCTGTAAGTTKCTAATATGCTGCAGGAGAACTCATCCAGACCCTGAAAAACTATCTCTGTTCTGGATGTTGTAGTGAGGTCTTCATCAGTGTGAAGGGGATATGGATAGCAGAGGGGTCTCTGATGGACCCCTGACCCAGGTCTGCTGGACATACCTTGTGTCCTGCGTCCTGCAGCAGTTTGGCTGCTGTGAGTCCGGCCATCCCAGCCCCGACAATGARAACATGATGAGAGCTGTGGATGTGTGGAAGGCCGTCCTGGACCGTCTTCAGCAGCTGGTTGTAGTCTTTGTCCTCCAAACAGTCACTCAGATGTTCCTTCAGCCTGAGGGCCGACATGAAGCTGCAGCTCAGAACCAGCAGCAGCAACCTGKAGCAAACTGGAGATYTAATAAAYTAAATTTATTTAAAATCACATCAGGGTTTAAATCAGGCACAGAGTCAAAATGTTCAAGAAAAATCTCTTCTGGTTAAACAAGAAGCTTGATTGCATCATAATTACAGAAGCTTTAATATTCAGAATAAAAMGATTATTGAGCTACTTTCCAAAATCAAAAAGAGGAACTGTTTTGGTGTCACATCCTCTCTACGAAACTCCAGTAAAAACTATAACATAATGTAAGTTTGATGCTTTCAATCCTGGTTTCAATCCTGGAGCTAAAAGAAACAGAGGATAATATTCCTCAGATGTTCATTCAGCAGACAGGAAGTGGTCAAAAACTGGAACTGAGAAAAGATGATGTTCTGGTTTTAACCAAACATCTAAACTGACCTTTCATTTGTCAGTTCTGTCAAGTGTCAATAAAGTTTATTTCAAATCTTTGAATCTTAACGTCCAACAGAAAAAAAAAAACTCACCTTTCATCCCTGATGGACACATCTCTGCTTCTGCTCTTCTTCCTCTGTTCTGTGAAGAGGAGGATGAAGATCAGATTATTTACTTTTTATTTGGTTTCATGTGAAAATATAAAAATAAACAAAAATTCACAACCAGTAAAACCACTTTATTTCTAGATTTTAACTTCAGCACAATTTATTATTATTATTATTATTATTATACCAGGGTCAGATTTAAAATGAAAATTTAAAAAACAGCTTCATACAGAGTTCAAATAAAAAAAGCATACTATTTTGGTCTTAAGAAGATTTTTCGTATATAAAAATAAAAAGACATTTAAAAACAAAAATCAGTTAGAAAGGATGAAAATATTTCACCAGGTTAAATAAAATTGTTCAAATAAAGCTGTAAGTTCTCACCATGTGAGGAGCTGGAGTCTGGAACCGATGGCAGGTTGTCTTCAGTTGCTGCTTTCACTTTGTGTTTCTTTATTTATTTTTGTTGTTTTGTTTTGTTTCTCAGCAGTCACAGCCGGCTGCAGGACTTCCTGATTTAGATCTACTGTCAGTCCTTCTCTATGATTCACCAGCTCAGAGTCAGATGTTCCTGAAAACCTGTTCTTATCTTATGATCAGGAGAAAAAAAACTGCTGGTTTTCATCATCACATTTTAAAACAAACACCAAACAGGAAACAGGTCAGAGAGTAACAGCTGCAGAATTTCACCCTGATAACATGTCAYTTAGAAATTACTTGGTTTTTACTGTTTAATCTGACTGCCATGAAAAACATCATGTAATCTCTGTTTGTCTGTTAGTAAAATATCAGARTGTAGCATCCTCCTTATGACCTTTGACCCTGATGTCGAGTCTCAGACCTGAACTGAGTCTGAAAACTGAAGGTACTGCAGACTCACAGTCAGACACCGAATCAAACGTTCCTCCTGCTGCTTTATAAAGAACTTCATAATTAAATRAGATAACATCTCATAAATGATCAAATATTTTAATTAAACATTRTCTAAATTCTTGCTCAAAGACAACAAACCAAACGTTTCTGCATAAAGGACTAACATTGATGCCATGATAAATCTTTGTTCTGATCTTAGTTTTTAGATTCTGTGGAGCTACAGAAACACTGCAGAAAAGCCAAACTGCAGGTTGCATCARTGGACACATGAGGAGACATCCAGCTGACAGGAAATGTGTCAGAAACAGTTTTTGGAAAGAAAACTCCTCAACTGTACGAAGAATCGAAGAGTCAACTTTATCAGAACAAAACATCTGAGTCAAAAGCAAAAACCAGACTCTGTTGAAGCTCAACAAACTGTTCAACACCAATAAAATAACATTAAGAAACATTTTGTTAGTTTTATCTGATTTCAATAAGATTTTAGTCACATAATAATAATATGGACATAATAATAATGGATACATTCTCTCACATAATTTCTCATTTTATAATTAAAATTACTTAATCAACTTTTTTTTATTCATTTTTCTTGGTGTAGCTTTAATCAGTCATTTCAAGGTTTTTCCTCAGGTTTAATTTGCCTTCAGTTAAAAACTTCAGTTGTTTGGGTGAAGGTTTTTTTTTTTTTGCCACAAATAGAATTAAAACTGAGAAAAAACACATTATAAAAAAAGAACAACAACAAACTTGTGCCTAAATCTAACAACAGGTAAAATACACAAATAAATATTTCAACTTGGTTCTGATTAGTGTTGTTTTTAGACTCACTGCTTCTCTTTTCTTTCAATTTCAAAACTTCTGAGAGAAAACTGGCTCCACAAAATTATTTATTTTAGTTTAATTTGTTTCAAGTAATTAAAAAGATAAACAGCAAAAATATACAAAATCAGGAAAACCAAACAAATCTTCACTGTAGAAATGAGGCATAAAAATAAAAATATATACAAATTAACCAATGGCTATAAAAGCTTTATACAAAAGAACAGCTGCTTGTTTTTTTATCATGTAACATTGTTTACTGTGCTGTCCTTGATCAAATAAAAATGAATGAATATAAAAACACATTTAAGACTTTTGGGATCAGAAGATCACAGGTTCGATTCCCTGTCCTCCCTGTGTGTTGTGCTGCTGAAAACCTACAGGGTTAAATACTGTATACATGTATTCTCTGTATATATACATACGTGTACGTACATGATGGGTTAAACATAGAATACACATATCATCTCTGAAACTTATCACTTTATATTTATTCTACGTTTCAAAAGCTGTATTTCAATAAAACAGAAGAGTTAGACAAACATGGACACAGACTCAAAGTGAAACAAGAGCTAAATGTCAAAATCTGCAGTTATTGTTGAGCAACAATGGATCATCTGATGGAAATGTGTTTTTTTTGTCAGCTGTCTCTCAGGAAAGTCCAAGAAAACAAACCTTTTGTTCACTGCACAGCTGTGACAACGAAAGTGCAAAAAACCGAGTTGGCATTTTAATGAAAGGGTTTTTACCGCAGACATGGTACAGATCAGAAACTGATGACAGAGAAAAATTCTCTGTGAATTAAACTTGATATCTGCTGATGGACAGARCACCTCACCACCGAGCAGATGTGTGGGCAGAATGTGTCCACTGAACAGGRTCATCRAATCAAACTACTTTTTGCTCCTTRGTTTCTTTTCTCCTGGTTTTAATTCACATTAAAGGCTGAAAGCTGAGGCCTGCAGAGGTTGTTCATATCCACTCATAATAGGAACAACAAACAAATATTGTTGAAGCTGTGTGACCCACAAACATTCAGACTGTTACTGACTTACATGTTTTATTAGATACGAAAGGAATGAATTAGAAAAACACACCTCTGCACACGATGTGATTTATGATYGTTAGTCATGAAAATGTGCATCTGTGGATTTTGGATCCATTTAAATAAATCAAAATGACTTTTATCTCCTCCAAAAATCTATACAAAAAACAAACAAAACGTTTTGTTAAAACTAAGTGAAAATTACAGTAGAAAAATGCTGAAACTTGGCTACAGGTATTTATTTCTATTTTCATTAAAAAGTGCTGTTTATCTGCTCCCACTAAATTGGACTGTCCAGATTCTGGCTTTTTTAATTTTTTTAATTTCAATTCTTACTATTGCTGCTACTTGTTTCTTCTTTTTCCACTTCCTGAAAGGAATTTCAAGTCTTGCATAAAAGTAAAACCTTTAAAACTATGTGAAATGTTAACAACAGAGTCGTTCCATCAGACTTTCTCTGGTTCCTCTCGGGTCAGACTTTTCTGCCACCTGCTGGTCAGAAATACAAACTACATCTCTGCTGCTGAAAAAGACAAGGTTGTGGGAGTATGTGTGTGTGTGTGTGTGTGTGTGTGGGGGGGGGGGACATCACGTTAACACAAGATTATCTTTAAACTCAGAGTATTGTTAAGCAACATTTTGTTATCAGATAAAGCAAAACATGAACCTGAGTCWCTTTATGGGCTTAAATCATTTTATCAATACTTCTGTACTCTCTCGTAAAGAACTTCCTACCATTTCTGACACTCCCACTAAAGCATGTTGTCAAACATTGCTTCAGGAGAGGYGTGTCCTGAGGGGGAGCTCGGCTCCAGACTGAGCTCCAGGGAGGAGCTTCGTACAAAACACTCTAAACTAGAGGTCGTATGTTAAAGATTTTATTCAGTGATGAAAACAGTAATAAATCTGAAAAAAATAACTTTTACTCCCCAACCCAGTATCAAAGCTTTACTCTGTGAGTAAATTAATTAATTAGCAATAATGTAACCACATATTTCTGTTGGTCAGACAGTGTGGARGTTTAGAGCTCATCTTTTCCTTGATGTTTATCCGGAACAGCTTTACTTTGTTGATGTTCACAGCTGCTCTGATGGCAGGCTTCATGGACATCTCGATCCAGCTGTGACGGAAGGATGTGTGCTCTCCAGCGAAGTGAATCCTCCCCTGAGCCATCTCCTTCAGTTCTTCATCGCTGGCCCCCAGGAAGAGGAGGGAGTCATCGGACCAGGTGTAGGAGGCCAGGAGGATGCTGATATTGTCAGTTTTGATTCCAGGGAAACCATGGCTGGGACAGTAGATGAAGCGTGTGGGCCCGTCTGTGATGCTCTTCCCTCCTCTGATTCCATCTTCTGCTTCAGTTTTATTTAACCAGAACCTTTCTCTAAAAGTCTGGAGGACTTTGGTGGAGCTGTCGTAGTGGACCTCCCTCAGGGCCTCCATCTTGGAGAGTGGAGGATCAAAGTCGATGAAAAGGGCTGCTTTGGCCGTGGTCGTTACCAGGACCACATCTGCCTCTTCAGTTAATAACTG